ATACATATATATATATATATATATATATATATATATATATTTATTTATTTATTTATGAAATTCACTAAAGATTGGGGGGAACAAAGGTGAGATGTCAAGAATCATAGCCGCTCGCGATAGAGGCTCGAAGTACACTTGGATGACGAGAAAACTACGCGAAACGATATTAATAAAGAAAGGCAGGGGAGTAGAATCAAATAACAGTTGCGAGGATCTTCAGCAGGTACAGCGAAACAGACGAGGGAAAGCCATATCCTCTTAGATAAGGGATCATGGCTACAACGAAACGATTAGGCCCCTGGTGTCGAAAAAACAGGGATAGAGGAGAACGGAAGGAAGAGCACAAAGTGCAGTTGCAGCCCGCGCTTTGCTGCCCTGGCTCGTTCTCGTCTTCCGAATTCCCCATTTAAAAATCGAAACCCAAGTCTACGGAAGAAACAAAAAAAACACACGCAAACCAAAAAAAAGGTAGGGGAATACTGAAACAATATTAACAATAATAACAGTAGAGGAGGGATAAATCATTCACCTATGAAACAGGCGCGCATAACAACGCTGCGCCTAAGTGAGTAACGCTTTTGGTTTTAAAACTATGCTTTTCTTGCTTTACTTTTCCTTTTTCTACCTTGTCGCACGAACAAAACGGCGGCAGAAGAAAAACACAAATGAACTCGTTAGAGAAAAAAAAAGGAAACAGCCGACGTTGAGAACTTTGGTATGGCTGTGGAAGAGGAGAAATTTTGTTTGTGCATGCATGCATCGACCCGCGCTCTTGGGGCAGAGCGCGCACTCGCTTTTAAAAAAAGACGCATCGAATCTCCTTTAATCTACGAAGGGTTGGTCAAGGAAGGAAAGGCGGGGTAGACAAAAATAAAAACATAGCTTTATTCAGGGAATACTGAAGAGACGGGAAAAGAAAGATAAATCATAATAATGGAGAGAAAAAAAAAAGAGGTACGATTTTTCTGTTTGGTGTTGAATTTTTTTCCGGTTTACGAACAAAAATAGGAATAATAAAAGTACTATTTTGCATTCTTATACCTTTCACAGTACACCAGTCTGGCGCTTCACGTGCTCGCTACGGCATCCATCACAGCTGCCGTCGCGCACACACTTCGCCATTGCGGATAAGGAGTAGATTTACCCTGCCTTTGCTGTCCACTGTTATTCTTTTTTTTTTAACTGGCGCGTGGGTACGACACGTGAAACTGAAAGTAACCAAAAAAAACAGAAAAAGAACACACAGGAAGGGAAACAAAAGGACAACAAGCGAACCAGAAAAGAAGAAAAGCAGAAGACAAACATATATATATATATATATATATATATATGTGATAATACTAAAGGTTGTTCTTGTATGGTATGAGTTG